TTAAAATACTTTTCTTACATCTATTGAGATGATTATATGACTTAAAACTTTCTTAAAACTGTTCTGTGGTGAAATACATCAAGAGACTTCTAGTGGCAAACAAATATAGTTTGAGATAAATGCAAATTGTTATGGTTTCTTATCTTTTATTAATAGACTGCTAAATACAGTTTGCTAATTTTTGCTTAGGACTTTTCATATTTATGTTCAAACTAGCATTTAAAAAAATTCTTGCCAGGTTTTGGTGTCAAATTTATGCTATTCTCATCAATACACTCACTTTTTCTGGATTCTGGAATAGTCCATATGAGATGAAAATTGTGGTTCTTTGAAAATTTGTTAGTACCCACTGGTAAAATATCTGGATCTGATACATTCTTTGTGGGAAGATTTCCAGTTGGAAATCTGATTCTATTTCTTGAATGATTCTATGACTGATTAGATTTTTTATTTCTATTGAAGTGAGTTTGGGCAAATTTTTTTTCAGGAAATTTGACCAGCAGAGCTTTCAAATATATTGGTGAAATAAAATTCTATTATTGTTTTGATTTCTACAGCTTTAATTATTACATGCTCTTTTCATTTCTCATATACTTTCCCTCTGATATATTTATTCCCTCCTCCTCCCTCTCTCCTCTTTCCTTTTCTACTCTTGACAGAGTTTTGTTCATTTTATTGGTTCTTTCAAAAATCAGTCTTTGGCTTTGTTGAACCTTTCTGTTGTACTTTTTGTTTTTCAATTTTATCCATTCCTTTTTATTATTATTCTTTATTACTTCCTTCTTTCAACTTTATTTGGGTTTACTCTGCTACTCTTTTCCCAACACTGTGAGGTGGAGATGTTTAACTCATCAACTTTGGTCCTGTCTTGTTTTTTCTTGTCTTGTCTTGTCTTGTCTTATCTTGTCTTGTCTTCTTTTCTCTTTCTTTCTTTCTCGCTCTTTTTTTTTTTTTTTTTCAAAGAAACAGAGTCTTGCTCTGCCACCAGGCTGGAGTGCAGTGGTGCCATCAGAGCTCACTGCAGCTTCAAACTCCTTGGCTCAAGTGATCCTCCCACCTCAGCCTCCTGAGTAGCTGGGACTACAGGTGTGTGCTATCATGCCTGGTTAATTTTTTTTATCTTTTTGTAGAGACAGGGTCCCACTGTGTTGCTCAGGTTTCTCTCCAACTCCCGGCCTCAAGCAATCATCCCACCTCAGCCTCCCAAAGAGTTGGGATTACAGGCATGAGCCGCCATGCCTAGCCTCTTTCTTCTCTTCTAATGGAGTTATTTAAGATTGTGTAATAGCTCCCATTGTGATCATGAGCTTGTCTATTTCTCCTTAGAAGTCTGTCAATTTTTACTTTACAGATGTTAATCTGATCTTACTTGGTAAATACATATTTGGAATAGTTATTATCTTCCTGGTGAATTTAATCTATTATTACTCAGTGGTCCTCTTACTCTCTAGTTAAGCTTTATGCCTTTATTATATTGTGTTTCAATTTATTATACCTATACCAGGCTCTTTTTGCTATTTTTCTGGAATATTGTTTTTCATCTTTTATTTTCAGTCTTTATCCTTGTATTTTAGATATGCTTGTTTGTCTAACAGCTGGGCCTTTTTTTCTATTCCTGTAACTATCATCTCTCAATTGGAAGATTTGGTTTGTTTACATTTATTGTAATTACTAATATACTTGAATTTAAAGCTAATATTTTGTATTTTCTATTTTTTTCTGCCTTTTCTATTTTTCATTTTCTCCCTTGAATTCTTCCTGGATTTTCTGAATATTTTTCTCACTTCATTTATTGTCTACTACTAAACTTGAAAGTTATGCTTTGTTAGTGGTTTCCTTAGACATTTTTACCCTCTATACTTATCAAAATTAAGTTTATAGGTATCTTTTTTTCTTTTTCTCAACCATACAAGGATTTCAGTACAGAAATTCGAAGTTGACCTTTTTTTGACTGATCTGCTATATTCTCACATATTTTCTGCCAAACTTTTAAAGTTATGAGACATTATTTCATGCAATTAATACTTAGATTAACACAAATATTCCCACTTTTAATTAATTAAAATTAAATTAATTTCCAAATATTAACCCAAACATTGCCACTTTCTTTACTCATTATTACTTCTTATATCTTAGACTTCCTGTTTAAAAAGATCCATTAAAATTGCCTCAAATGAAAGTGTGTTAAAAGTCTTTTATTTTATTTTTTTCAGAAATGTCTCCATTTAAAAATTTTATTCAAAGATATTTGATGTTATAAAGTTCTATACTGAGGAAACATTGGCAACTTAAGGTTCTGGCTTCAATAAAATAAATGTCATTTGACTTATAAAAATACACAGTGCTATCAGCTAGACAAAATCACTATACAAGCGGGACAAGAACTGTAAAACAATTGTTTCTAGGCCCTGGAGGCAGGCATCACGTGCTGCTATTCTTGAAAGAAAGAAAACACACGAAATGAGCACCACACTCACCCCAGTTTTCTACCCGAGGGTAGTTTTTAATGGGTTCACGGCCAAAACCTTGTCACAGGGAAATGGAGCTCAAGTAGAGAGCAGCCGTCTTACTAGGCAGAAGAAAAAGATGTCAAAGTCTGAGATTTCAGAGGCTGGAACTGAGCTCAGGATAAGAGCAAGTTACAGAAAAGGAGCCCCAAAAGCCTAAATAGGGTTTCTCTTTGGTCCTGGACTAAATCCTAAGCTGCATGAACAGCAGCAAGATTTCAGGGGCCTGGAAATCTTTGGGAAGTTAAGAGCTCAACAGATTTTACAGGTTGTATAGCACCGAGTAGGTGAAATTCTGGCCCAGTCAAAGTATAGAGACCTTGGTAAATACCCTGAACTTTTGGGCAGTGGAGACTCAGTGGTATAATAAAGAATTTGACTGGTATTTGTCCCTGGTTTCTGAAAGGGAGAAGATCCTTGGAGTAATAGGAGTGTCTTTATTATTTATGAGTCCCTTATATCACACCTGAGTTTACATTACGAGATGGCTCAGGACAGGGGCAGGTCACCAGAAATATCAACCATGTGAGTAGAGGTTAGGGCTTAGAGCTAGCCTGATTTCTGGACAAAAAGAGGTACGATATATGGTTTGAGAGTGCTCCTCAAGATTCCAGTGTGAGATTTAGTCCCCACTGTGGCAGTGTTAGGAGCTAGAGTCTTTAAGAGGCGATTAGGTCACTAAGGGGGATTCATGCCACTCTCACAGGACTGGATTAATTCTCAAGGAAGTGACTGAGTCCTTGCTCTCACAGGACTGAATTAGTTACAAGAGTATGTTATTATAAAGCAAGGCTTCTCCCTGAGTTTTCCCCTTTTCACACCCACCCACTTCCCTGCTGTATTATGGCATGATGCAGCATGAAGCCCTCACCAGAAGTCAACCAGATGTGGCTGCCTGATCTTGGACTTCTCAACCTCCAGAATTGTGAGCCAAAACAAACCTTTTTTCTTTATACATTACCCAGTATCAGGTATGTAGTTATAGTAACAGGAAATAGACTAAGAGAAAACTGACACAAAAAAGTGGGGCTACTGCTATACAAATACCTGAAAATTTTGAAGCAGCTTTGGAACTAGACAATGGATAGAGGCTGGAACAATTTTGAAGCGAATGCTAGAAAAAGCCTATATTGCCATGAACGGAGGATTTAGGGTTCTGGTGAAGGTGCAGAAGAGAAGACTAGGGATAGTCTAGAATTTCTCAGAGATTATCTAAATGGTCATGATCACAATGTTGACAGAAATGTGGACAGTAAAGGCCATTCTGACAAAGTCTCAAATGGAACTGAAGAACAAGGTCTTGGAAACTAGAGTAAAGACCATCCTTGCTATAAAGTTGTAAAGAACTTAGCTACATTGTGTTCATGCCCTAGGGCTCTATGGATTACAGAACTTAAGAGCAATGAATTAGAATATATGGTGGAAGAAATATCTAAGTGGCAGCAAAGTATTCAGGCTATTATATGGCTACTTTTAACCACTTTCATTAAGTAGTGAGAGAGGAAAAAATGACTTACAGATGAAATTCATAATCAAAAGGGTAGCAAGGTAGAAAGACTTAGAAAATTCTCAGCCTCGCCATGTAAAGAGTGAAAAAGTGGCTGAGCGTGGTGGCTCATGCCTGTAGTCCCAGCACTTTGGGAGACCAAGGTGGGTGGATTACCTGAGGTCAGGAGTTCAAGACCACCCCGGCCAACATGGTAAAACCTCGTCTCTACTAAAAATACAAAAATTAGCCAGGTGCGGTGGCACATGCCTGTAATCCCAGCTACTTGAGAGGCTCAGGCAGGAGAATTGCTTGAGCCCGGGAGATGGAGGTTGCAGTGAGCTGAGATCATGCCACTGCACTCCAGCCTGGCTGACAAAGCAAGACTGTCTCAAAAAAAAAAAAAAAAAAAAAAAAGAGTGAAAAAGTGTGTTCAGGAGAGGAAACCAAAGATGTGGTCCAGCAACCTTTTGCTAAGGAGATTAGTAAAGACAAAAGGGATAAGCAAGACAATGGAAGACAGATCTTGAAGGTATTTCAGAGAACTTTAAGGCTCCTCCTTCTATCATACACCCATAGGCATAGGAGCGCAGAATGGTTTCAGGAAATGGGCCTAGGACTCCCTCCACAGGCTTGCTTCCCAGGGCTCCCTGAGGTCTCTGTTCCCCACATTCCAGTGTAGCATTCCTCTGCCAACCCAGCCACGGCTCCAGGTATAGCTGGAGCCACTGCTCTAGAAAGTACAAGTTGACTTTGGGGCATCCATGTGGCATCAATTCTGCAGGCATGAAGAATGCAAGAGATACGGGGGCACAGCTTCCTCTCCCCAGATTTCAAAGGCTATTGTGAACACCCTGGGAGTTCAGGCAGAGACTTGTCACAAGGATTGAGCCACTGCAGAGAGCCCCCATTAAGCAAGGCCTAGTGGAGTCATGAGAATGGGATCGCCATGGAGACTTCAGAACCATGGAGCTATGAGCATGCAACACCATTCTGGAAGACCTGAAGTGTGAGACATGGAGTCAAAGAAGATTATTCTGGAGCCTCAAAACTTAATGTTGTTTTCCCTGTAGGGCTTTGGACTTACTTGGGTCCTAATACCCCTTTCTTCTTGCCTGCCTCTTTCTCTCTGTCCTCTCTCAGAATGGAAATGTCTATCGTATACCTGTCCATTCATTGTATCTTGGAAGTAGATAACTTGTTTTGATTCCACAGGCTGCCCGCAGGTAAGACTTGGGACTTTTGAGTTGGTGCTGGAACAAGTTAAGACCTTTGGAACTATTAGAATGGAAAAATTGCATTTCACATTGTGAGAAGAACATTAATTCTGGGGGCAGGTGTGAAATGCTATGGTTTGAGTGTGTCCCCCAGAATTCATGTGTTAGAAATTTGGTCCCCAGTGTGGTGGTGTTAGGAGATGGGGGCTTTAAGAGGTGAATGGGTTGTTAAGAGGGATTAATGCTGCTCTCACAGGACTGAGTTAATTCTTATGAATGTGGGAGCCCTCCCCTTCATTGGACTGGATTAATTACCACAAAAGCAAGTTGCTATAAAGTGAGGCTGCCCTTGCATTTGCCCTTTTGGCATGCACTCAGCTTACCCTCATGTTATGATGAAGCATGAGGCCCTCACCAGAAGACGATCAGATTTGGCAACCTGAGCCTCTAGAATCATGACCCAAAATAAACCCCTTTTTAAAAAAAAAAAAATTAATTAACCAGTCTCAGGTATTACCTTATAGCAGCAGAAAATTAACTAAGACAAGAGGGGAAACTGGATTACAATGGCCAATCATTAAAGTTACATGGCCAATCATTAAAGCGATAATACCTACAAAATAAAATCCCAATAAAAACCATGGACACCCAAGCTCAGCAGAGCTTCCTGGTTGGTGAACACACTGATGTGCCAGGAGAACAATGTAGCCTAATTTCACGGGGAGTGGGCATGGAAGCTCTGCATTTAGGACCCTCCCAGACCTTGCCCTATGTATTTCTTCATTTGGCTTCATCTGTATCATTTATAATAAAATGGTAATAAAAAATATAGAACTTTTCTGAGTTCTGTGAGTCACTCTATGAATTATCAAACCTAAGGGTATCATGGAAAGGATTTATAGTCAGTACTTATAGTCAAGAATTTATAGTCAGTAGGTCAGAAATGCAGGTGGCTTGGGGGAACCCTGAACCTATGGTTAGCCTTTAAAGTGACAGCAGTCTTATAGAGGACTGAATCCTTAACTTAGGGGGTCTGCTAACTCCAGGTGGTTAGTGACAGAAATGAATTGCAGCATACTAGTTGATATCAGACTACACAAAAAGGATTTGTCCTGTGGGTAAGAATCATATCCTAGGAATAAGGCCGATACACTACAACTGAGGGAGAAACCAAAAAAATCCCCTAACAAAGTCTAAACATGCGCAGCAAAAAATGGCAACCTGTAATCGTGAGATAAAATCATCAATTGAGGTAGACCTAGAGATGCTAACACTATGGGCATTAGCAGACAGAGGACTTCAAAATTATTATCATTAGTGTGGCAAAGAAAAGAAAGCGTAGCTCAACAGAGAACTGGAACCCATAAGAGAGAATCAAGAGGGCACTCTAGAACTGTAAAATATAATATTGAATTTTAAGAATTCACTGGCTAGAATTAACATCGAAAGAAACTCTGAAGAAAAGGTTAATTAACTCAAAGGTAGATTGAACCTTGAAGGGGGAAAAAAGAAGGGAAAAATCAGATAATGAGTAAGAGTGTTGTGGAACATGGTTAATAGGTCTAAAATTCTAGACTGGCCAGTGTTTTCTCTCAGCATATTAAAGATATTCCAATGCTTTCTGATTTCTACCAGGAAATAAACTGTAAGTCTCTCATAAGTAATCTGTTTTTTCTCTCTAGCTACTTTGAGGTTTGTCATTTTGTCCTTAGTATTCTGCAAGTTTATGTTGTAGATAGCCTTACGTTTCTTTTTGTACATCCTATTTGGGATTTACTGGGCTTCCTATATCTGAGGATAGTTGTCTTCCTTTGGTTTTGTAAACTTTTTTTAAGCATTATCCCTTCCAATATTACTCTTCCTGTTTTCTCTCTTTAATCCCAATTACAAATGCTTGAGTCCTCCTCATCCTAGTCTCTTTGCCTCCTAACCTCGATAGCTTTGTCTCCTCCTGGCATTCTGTTACATTTTCAGATGTATCTTCCAGTTCTCTTCAGTTATGCCCTGTTTGTTCTGAAGTCTATCCTTTGATTTTTAAAATTTCAATTACATTTTTTATTTCTAGAAATTCGACTTGGTTATTTTTCAAATAATCAAGATAGTTTATATAGGTTTATTCTTTGTTTATATTTTCAGCTCCCTTTTTATTGCTTATAACATAGCACGCATAGTTTTTTAAATGTTAATTCTATTATCTGGTCTTTATAGTTCCATTTCTGCTGGCTCTTCTTTTGGTGTTTTGCACCCTTTCATTTTTTAAAATTTTAACTGGGAGCCCATATTCCTTGGATGGAAAACTGTCAAAATTATTTGAGGCCTATATTGAAGAAGAGTTCTTTTACACAGGATTTGTGTTTGCTCTGCCATGTACCTAGGAACACTACCAACCAGGACTGTTTCAAGCTAAAATCTTGGCTGAGGCTTTCTCGGACTAGTCTGTTATATGAATTCTACTGAAAGCTTAGCTTGTGGTTCCTGTTCTCAGAGGAAACATTTTGGCTCCCACTCAGCATCAAGGTTTAAGGCAGGCAATTTTCTTCACGCATCCTTGAGAGAAGACAGGGCATGTTTATTTTTAATTCACCCTTACACTAAAGAGGTAGCCTCCTGGGGTCTGTAGGGGTCTCAGCTTTTACATAGAGGAGGTTTTCTAACAGGCTGATCTGCCTTAGGCTTGACTCCTGTCCCCATATCTCTCGAGGTCATAAAAATCAGAGCTCAAGATCACCTGCATTGGGCAAATACTCTCAAAGCAAAAGTCTGCTTCAGAACCGAACTTTCTTTGAGTTTTGGCCTCTTAAGAATTCTTTAGTTCCTGCTTTCTCACTGAGGTATTTAAAAGATTGTTTAAAAGTTTTATCCATTATTTAAAATTGTTTTAAGTGGGAGAGTCAGCGAAGTTATCTAGCCTCCCACACAGCCAGAAACAACAAGCTGCACAAATAGTTCTAAAATTTTCTTTTTATTAGTACCTACTCTTCCTGAAATGGTGGATAAATGTGATTACTCAGTTTTGAGGAAAGAAAATAAGTTGGTCCAGTTAAATCCAAGGCTTTCTAACCCAATGCATTTCAGTAAGTATTCACCAAAGACCTCCTAGTCCCCCGTACTATAGGCCCACTTAGAATCAGAAGTCACAACCCCAGGCAACCCCAGCTCCAACTGTGGGTGAATAATAGCTAACAATGATGGCTAATATAGGGCCTACTCAGAAGGTGGGCCAGTGCTATGTTAGGCTTTTGAATATGCATTTAATCCACACAACTGCCATAGAAGGTAGATAGAATTATCACCACTATTTTAGATGTGAGAAAGCCAAAGCACAGAAGTTTAAATAACTTGTTCAAAGTAATATAACCAGTACATTGGATCATACTCAAAATGTCTGGCTGTATAATTTTGAAAAACTGCACTGAATAATTAGAGAACACAGAAGGAGACAACTCTCAACTCAATGAGATCATATGAGTAATAAGGGTAGGATAAAGTCCCAATGTAATGGTGGCTGGAAATGTTATAGAAAGCCAACTTAGGTAGAATGGAGTTTGGCTCTTCTCACTGTGTAAGTGATGATTTTCTTGTCCTTTTATATAGCATGCCATATTATGTGGTCATTGTACACTTACGATGCCTGCCCCAAGCTAGAAGGACTCATCTTGCTCCTCTCCTCCTTTAGGGAGGGAGGTTAGAGTTTCCATGCAGACCCTGTTAATCCAACTTTCTTACTATTACTTAGAACATGTTTCTAATAAACCTCCTGGGATCCATACAAGTTCTTTCACAGCAGTCAAGCAATTGGGAATGAACCATCCTAAAGACAACGGGCGAGTCACCCAAAGCAACCAACAGCACCCAGCATCGCCAGCTTTGTTTGCCTGGGTCTTGCCTCTGTTTACGATACTTGGAGAACAGCAAGTGTGGGAGAGAGGATAAAACACAAGATAGCTTTTACAAAATGACTAATAAAGAAATAATGGGAACCCAATAACTACCAACTACAGAGGCAAGAGAAATAATAAAAATAATAAAGCAGAAAATGTACAAAGCAAACAATTAAGACTATTTTATCAAAACAATACTGCGACTCAGCAAGCATTAATTCTCACTGCACAAGGGCAGTAACTGTTTATCATCTGAATTTTGCACATTAAGAAAATGACACCAAGGGAGTTAATAAGTTTCTCCAAGCTCTAGGACACTTCGGAGCCCAGATTAAAAGTTAGCCATGCTCACGCTCAGCTGAGATGTCATCTCTCATTAAAGTCTAAATCAGCTCAGAGAACACACCACATTTACTATTTTTTATAAAATCGTATGACTGATTCTGGAGGAGCCAACAGTATCTTTGGGATAAACACACTGATTAAAAACATACTTTTAAAACGTCTCTTTTTCTAACCCAGTGGACCAAATATATAAATTAGAGCTATTCTGGTCTACTGAGTACTGTAAATGTATATTTAGATGTAACAAAATATCAGCTGGAAATATCTTTGGAAAGTAATTACTCTGCAATATACGTGGAATGTCTTAAATGCTTAAAGCAATTGCCTCATTTTAAAGACATAACTTACATAGAGAGGCACAAATATTAATTACCAAGCTCGAAGCTTGCTTGTAAATTTATTGCCTAGAGGGAATATTTATAGATTAAGGCACAAATATCAAAAAATAAGATAGAATGATGGAAGATTTAACTGCCTAAACCAAGGACCCACTTCTAGACACCGGCATCATTAGAGACATTCAAGGAGGGCTGAGGAGGTAAAGGGTTGCTCCAGCCTTTATTCTAAATTTCCCCACCTTCTCTCCTACCCTCCACTTTCCTCTCTCCCCCATCTCCTTACTGACATCTGACTCTACTGGTCCATAATTAACAATTCTATACCTTAGTACAAAACAGGGATTGAAAACTCAAATGTCTATGGAGACCACACAGGTAATTTAAGGAGCATGGGTCTTCTGGAACTTCTACTTGGTTATATTTATTCTACAGAACTGTATCTAACACTTAGTCTCGCTATGAGGAATGCACTAGGGAGTGGTGAGGACTGTGGAAAAGCAGGAGAGCATGTATACCCTTCAAAGACACGGCTGCTCTCACCCAACCCTGTTGCTGCCATGAGGTCATGTGGGCCCAGTGTTATCAAAGCATTTTACTTTCCAAGATCATCTGTATATTTGGATATTTGAATCTGTTGGTAAAATGCCCTTATTTTTAAACTATGGTAACTCATCTCATTCATACTGAAATATTTTTATGTTTACAAAAAACATCTGCAGGCCAAGACAGCATAAATCAAAATATGGCTGCAGGCAGAATCTGGCCCACGGGTTTGAGACCTGTTATATGAAACAAATATGGACCAGAAATCAGGCTCAAGGGTCTTAGGAGAAACCTGTCTTAGGTTTTCTTACGAAGAGGCAGACAGGCTTGGTGAGTTTCCAGGTAGGAGATGATGTGGCTCAATGAAAGTTCTGCTATTCCTTCAGGAGCCAACGTGATTTGGTGGGTATTCATAAGGAAACAGGAGATGAAGCCCTAACAGTGGGTGTTCTAGGAATTAGCAACAGATAGGAGAGATATATGCGTGCAAAAGTCTTTTCTGGACACTTGTACATGGTAGAAGAGCCACAGAATTCTCAACTGTAGGGTTCAGGGCAAGCAGCCTCTGGGTAGTCTCCTGGTCCTGCCGTTCCCTATGCTCCAACCGCAGTGGCTAGTCTCTTGCCGTCGGATCTCCGGGCCTGCAAAACATAACTCTCCCTCTGACCTCCAGGGGGCGCGAGAGAGCGGGTGAGTCTCGTGGTACCTGGAACCCACAATCTGTATCAAGAGACAGGAAGCCTAGGTTTGTCCAAGACTAACAGCCTGGACCAGCATCTTCACCTCTTTTCCGAGGCATGGCAGCAGCTTCTCACTGTCTTGCCTCAGACGTTTCTTCTCCCTGTTTCCCTCTGTCCTCCACATGTTCCCCTCCCATTAGGGGAACAGCTATGGGTGCGCCCGCTCTTCCTAAGCTTTTCAAGGACTGTCCATTTAGAAGTGACCTTGCAGACTTGCCTGAGAGCTAAGAGTCCTCAGGACAAGGGTCCTAGCAAAGCTACAGTAGCAAGACACAGGGACACCCCACCACAAAGGACTAAATATTTAGGTATGGTGAGGTCAATAAATAAGTCACTACTGAAACACCCAGCAAACCAAATCACAAATCCTTTCAAAGCTGTGTCTTCTCATTTCTAAAACAGAGTATCACACGATCTGGCCACATTGAACTATCGTGAGTGTTAAAATAAGTGAACTCGGCAAAGCATATGGCATATGGTGGAGCTTTAATAACAACAGTTGTCATCATGTGCCCCCTCCCATATAATCTCCTATCCCCTAAGGCTGGAAAACAAAACATGTAGGAATAATCTAAATGAAAGTCAAAACATAGAACTTAACTAGAAAACTCAGTTAGCCAGGACCCCCATCACTAGGGTATGGTAGCTAAGTCTCTGGGATATGTTGGACACTGTGCCACCCTACAGAGAAGGGAGAACCTAGACTCAAGGGTGGGAAGCAAGGAAAGGAAGCACGAAAAACAACCCAGAGAGCCCTGAGAATTAAGAGCACTGGCTCAAAGCCCCAAATCCCTCCTCTGCTATTCACTAGTCCCAGGACCTCAGGCACGTCACTGTACCTGTTCAAGCCTACCTCATCTGTCCAAATAAGCGGTGACCCTGTGGGGCCTTTGATCTGGAGTTGGATCATTTGGATGATTCCATGAATGGTAGGGATGAGAAGCAAGCCCAACCTTGCAAGGAGGGAATGGTCACCACCATGCCCAGCATTCAGGCAGGCTGCTTGGTGGGTGGAGTGCAGTTGTGAAGACTGGCTACGCAGTTGACCTTTTGGAAATCCAGACAGCGAGCTTGGGGAGGTGGGGGGAGGTGCCTGGACCACAGTGGTGGGCACATCTAGTGCTCTCTCAGGTCATCTACATGGGCCTCTGCTGCGGGTAGCATGTTTCTCGCTATATTCCAAATGTCTCTGATCCATGACACTCGCATCCTAATGGGTCCTGCTGTCAGCAATGGATGAGCATTGAGCTAATAGATGTCAAACAGCATTTACATTTCTGAAATGGCTTCATCTGCTCCCTCTCCCAGGACTCTCCAAAGTGAAATTTGAAATGTGGACAGACGGGTCAGCTCTGGACAGCTCCACTTCCAGAATTCTCACGGGCAAGAAACAATTATTTATTTTTTCCTAAACAGACAGACAGCGCTGAGCTTATTCAACAACAACAACAAGCTGCTTTTCAACCTTGTCGTCTTGGAAAGGCGTGCAATTTCCTAAGAGGCACATGGAAATATCTGTCACCTTGTAGCTTAAATAGCATTCATTCATTCATTCAAAGCACACTCGCAATGAATTACCTTGTTCATTCGAAATTCTGCAGAAGACCAGTGAGAGGTTTGGATTGGAGAGAGCATGGGGGAGTTTAGCATCTGTGATGTGGTACGAGAATCAAACCGCGCTGCTAGATTCACCCAAGCGCCCTCTGCATGATGACGGCAGGGTCAGAATGGTATTCTCAGTCTGGGTTTCAGTAGCAGGGACATCTGTAGCTATCAGAAAATGCTGTGGAATCGTCTGTCTAGGGACCATCTGTATTTGGGGGTTATTCCAATGTAGCACCTGACACATGATAATGAATGGATTTTTCTGGCTCTCTCTGGCTCTATTTTAAACTGTCATCATTTTAAACCATGAAATATGTCAAGTGATAATTAAACCTCACCATAGACAGGTACTGTGAAAATGATTAACTTTTACCATTTCCTCCATACACATTTTGAATATTTTGAATATCCCAGGTATGGGATCATTACATTGACAGATGAGAGAAGTCATCTTTACAATAATTTATTTTTAAAAGAACCAAAACAGGGCTGAAAATTCTGTGTTTTCCCATTGGGTTTTAATTTGAAAACTTCTGCCACAAACTCCTATTTACAGAGGAAGCCTGGTGAGAGGAATACAGAACTGGACGCCATAATCTCCAACTCTGCCTCAATTAGCTGTGTGACCTGGGGCAAGTCCCTTGCCATCTCTGAGCATCAGTCTCCTCCTCTGTCAAATACCAATGACCATATCTTCACTCTTCCTAACTCACAGGCTTTCTTGAGCGTATTAAATGAGAGGACAAATGGGAAAGCTCTTTGAGAGCAAAAGGCACACCGGTTACCCTATCTGAATGTAAGGTATTATTTTAAATTCTGTATAAAGGGGAAAAAGTAATATGCCAGCACAGCTTTACAGGCCTACTGTTTTTTAAAAATAAACACATACACAAAACCAAAACCTCAACTCATTTTATTTTCAGCTGAAGTTTCTGAGCAGATTAGATCTGACCCTATCAAATCAACGTCCCCTCGGAGCCACAGGACTCCCATTTTGTGTCCAAATACGCAGGGGCTCACACAAATGATAAAAATTCAAATGAAGCAGCCAAGCAGCTGGATGGGAATGTTGCTTCCAGCAAAAAGGAAGAGCAAATAACTGCTAAAACTAGTAAAGCAAACAGCCTGAAATATATTTTTACCCCCCACAACTCATTGCCTAGACCTGTGAATTTTTTTACAGGCCTATTTCTTCTGAACTTGGGGTTCTCCACTCCCCTTTGGTAGCAGCAGCAAGACACAGCTCCCCGAGATGGGAGGTTGGGGGAGGCCCCAGGACCTCTGACTCTGCAGGCATGCTGACTGTAGAACAATGAATCCACGTTTTTGAATACGAATATTTCAATCAGAATTACACAAACATTGTCAGATTCCCATAGAATGTGTCTTCCTGAATGACCTCAGTGAAGCCCATTTTAATTCTTTGATCAATTTCCTACAGAGTACAAAAGGTCCTCATTTTTTAAATTTACAAAATAAGATTGCAATGCCTATCTCAGAGGTTGTTTATGAAGATTAAATAAGAAGTTGAACGTGAAAATGTTTCCATTTCCAATCTACAGAATTTATAGTAAAGGACTAAACCTTTTGCCTCTAAATTG